TCTTTTTGTTGATAATATTTCACTTGCTAAGCAAGTAGTTGAATGGTCCGTGTGTTTTCTTGCGCTGTGGATAGCTCGCACAGAAGAGAAGCGACAGTCTCGAAGATGTCTGTTGTTGAACCTCTCAACTCTTTCCAGTAACTGCAGCAGGTGTCGTTTGCTGTCGATCGTGGATAGAAGTACCGTTTCGGACCAGAGCTGCTTCACTGATGCTTTTGCGACATTTACTGTAAGGCTGAAGTCGAATTTTACAATAGAGTATTTAATTGAATAAGCGTCATTGTTACAAATGTGAGCCAAAATAACATGGCCATTGCATTTGATGACATGCCAAATTGTGAGATTTTGTACTCAAATGCAGTTTGCGACATCTTTCCAATCTCAAAGATTATCCGCTTCGTCCTCTTTTTTGGCCGTGACAATTGACTCGACGAGCATTTTCTCAAGCGAAGTGGCCTCCAAGCGCATTCGCTTGCTCTCTGGGGCCTCTCTACTACAGCTTTGTGTAGGCAGGTAGCTTGGGAAATTAGGGAATACCAACGGTACTGCCTCAGTTCGTTGCCTCAAACGTAATAGCAGTGCGGCCATTGTTCAGCCGCTGGCTTCGTCAATATAGCTAGTTTCCCGAACAACGCATTTGACTTTAAAGTTACGCTCTCCACACCTAAACAAAAGAAACATATCCTAGCATCAGTACGGCTACCTTGTAACAACAGCACATTCAGGGCTTTGCTTGATGTGTTTAGGCGTAACACGGTACAAGCTACAACGCTCAGGCCGCAACATTAACCAGCAAGCTGCATAAGAAAATCATAACACATTCGAAACATTTTACCTTGGAGTTCCCTTACACAACCAAGCCTTCACGTGGAATAACACGTATCCACGCTTGCCTTGCTTCGTCGGCGTGAGGGAAAAAGAAAACATGCACCTTGGGGCCTGTCTTGCAATTGCCGTTACTGCATGACATGCAACACTTTCCTGGCATTTCGCCGTTTATTCTAATGCTGCCTGAGCCTGCTCAGCGCACATAACACGCGATAAACACCGAGGCCACTCGCCATTGCTGAACTCCACACAGAAACGAACATTGAAAGACCAACAAATAATATACTGCGTACATTCTTGCCACCAACACTCAGAGCATCCAAACGTGCCCGCGTTGCCGAGGCTTCTTACGGATGGATGAATGGATGGATGGACGTATCCGGCTGTGCCCTTTAGATCAGGCGGTGGCTCACGCCACCTAGCCATAACGTTAGGTACTATGACTGTGTGTTTAAGGATTAAGTTTAACTCGTGCCTCGATTGTAGCCACCAATCAGTTAGCCTCTTTCTGGTTATTTCTATCCGTTTAACGTCTATTTTGCCTCCATTGTCCCTAAACACCAATGCTTTGAAAAAAATGGCGCCATTATCTTCTAAAATAGGGTGGAGCCCTTTACAGAACAATATAAAATGTTCAGCCGTTTACTCATCCTCTCCCCACGCACTACCTACGCCGCGCAGGGGAACAACGCCATCTAGCGTCTAGCGCAGACGTGGGCCCCTAACTGATGAATTAAACTCACGGGCCAACGGGAGCACCCGGCCTGGAATGAATTTCCTACTGGTGGTGTTGCGTCAACTACCCTCTCAGTGCACACTGAGGGCACTCTCTCCGTTCTGCCGCGCACTGAGCGCAGCGCCTGGACCAGCCACCTCGTCCGTTTGGCAGCAACACCCGCAGCTCGCTCCCCTACCACGACCGCCACTGGCTACACCGCATACCCATCGGCTCACATGCAAGAAAACTGACACGCGCCTAACGTACGCCTTCAAATATACCTGTGCTCGTCTCATACTAGACCTACCCCAGCCATCGCTTCAAATCAATTCTCAGGCACTCACCACAGCACCCGTGTTAGCGTCGTGCGTCACTCGACTTTTTGCAAAGCTCCATCGCACAACGAGGGGTACGTACTATTGACTCGTTTACTGAAATTGACAGCACGCCAGAAGACAACACTCTTCGCCCGCCGAAACATCCACTGAACTGATAAGGCCTAAGCTGGTCGTCGCCGGCGTGTCGCGGGTGAGCGATGTCAAAAACATTGGCGAATGGCAACATTGCACCTACAAGAACGACAAGGCGCGAACCAGGGAGGTCAAACTCAAGCGTTGGCCACACTTCTGCTTCGCATGCCAGGGTTACTTTTGGGAATATGGTGTTATTTTAAATATTAAGCAGCGTGTTTTTCAGAAATATTGCACCTATTGTGGTGTCCAGCCCACGCCTAGTCATAACCTGCTCCACCCAAGTCACAATGCCAAGTTTGAGGACAAGCCCGATACCAGACAGAGCAGCCTTTCACTGATGCGGACATCTCGGATGTGCCAAAGCGAATCATCGAAGCCTAGTAAGTGTTACTTGGCTTCGTCATCGTAAGCGCAAAAAAAAGTAAGAACTTCGCCCCACTGCAGTGGCCTAGTGGGTAAGGTACTCGGCTGCTGACCCGCAGGTCGCGGGATTGAATCCAGGCTGCAGCGGCTGAATTTCCGACCGATGGAGGCGGAACTGTAGGCCCGTGTGCTCAGACTTGGGTGCACGTTGAAGAACCCCAGATGGTCGAAATATCTGGAGCCCTCCACTATGGCGTCTCTCACAATCATATGGTGGTTTTGGGACGTTAAGTCCCACAAATCAATCATCAAAAGCAAGAACTTTGCGCAATCTTCGGCCCACTTTCAGTTATGTTGCTTTCAGGAGCTCACTGAGCAAGCGTTTAGTGCTCACGTCTTGCCCGGCGGCGAGGCTTGGTAGCCGGCATGTACGCCAGTGTTTCTGGTGTACACTTTTCCGCTCGCCGCTTAACGTGGAAATTTCAACAAAGCTGCTGGATGGTGCCCCCCCCCTCCCCCCCCTCCCCGGGCGTCAAAGAGCCTTCGTGTGCACGCTGAAGGAGGCGGGCAGCACGCACATAGAGGCTCCGCCCAGCGCGACCATGAAGGCTTCCGCGCGCTCGCATCCTCCTCACGGCGTCTTGCCGTGCGACATTGCCATGGTACCTCTGCTTTGTGTGCACTGACTGAAGCTATCGCGCCGAAGGGTAGTCCCTTTGTCGGGACTGGAATGCTTGGATGTCATGAGGCAGGCCGCATCTGCTCGGCTCCTGGCGCTCAGCGGTGGCCGCCTTGGCAGAGTATTGACTGTCTAGCGCAAAAGTATGGCTGATGATGGGTTGATGACTTAAGTGAGACTGTGGGACAAGTGCCTCAGAGTGCCGTGTCTTCTTCAGACAACGGCACTGCCATGGGTGTTACGCACGGGCACCGATGTCCCCCAAGCAGCCTCACCTGCCTTCTCGCCACCCTGTAGAAAAACGCCCGATAGCTTTACGTCTGCCATTTATGAGCTGTGGACATTTCACTCACGGCAGTGGCGAGTATGGCATGAAAGGCAGGTGGTTAACGCGCCGAACGACGTGGCTAACACTGTGCAGTGGCGGCCACGAAACGTACCCGACAGCGCTGCCTTCGACGGAGTGTACACATCCTCCGGCTCGTTAAACCTTCCCATAAAAATAGTCAGGCCAAAAAAACGCCTGGTGCACCTTCGAACATGCTTCTGTACCATCATTCACTTTGAGAATATGGTGGCGATTTTTTCTCAGTCTTGTGAATAATCATTACTTGGACGCACGTTCATCGAGAGCGTGCGCGCACTTTGGAGTCACATTAAGAAACATCATCACTGAACACTTGATGCATAATGAAGTCGGTGTCAGCCAACAAAGCAGGTTCAAGCACGTCTGATATCGCTAAATCGAGACAGAAAAGCGCGTCCCATTCTTTCTTTATTGTCTGCTGGTCATCACATTTTGCAAAAAAAGGCCAGCTTCCGCTGCATTGTTTTTGATTGAAAAATTGCTGCGAACAATTGCATCAAACATTAGTAGTTGTGGGAGTGCTTTTTGAAATCTGTTTGCTCTCAAAAGGGGGCAAATGAAGTGAATTGAGTGGATGCGAGATATGACCATTGCCACGACAAAATTCTTCCGAGTACTTACGGTATCATCGAGGAATTAAAATGTACATTGTGTAATTGCGATGCCTTTGACGAAGTATAAGTGCAAGAGAGCTTTTTCGATCAAGGGAGCACAAAACGGCATTCAGGAACTGTAGATGTGACGAAACGTAGCAGCAATACCATCGATTCCATAATGCAATGTCTGTAGTGTCAACGTCGAAAGAAGTGTCTTTCCCGTTCTGGTCCGGGGCTGGTACGTGGAGGATCTGGTGACCACATTAGGTGACATATCAATACAGCAATTTCAGAGCAATTTTCGCTGAATGAGGCACTTTGAGCAGCGACATTGAAGCACTATTTCATTACTGTAACTACAACTACACATAGCAGCGATCAAATCAGCAATGAAAAAGTAGTTTTTTAAGGCATGAAAAACAATAATGCAAACTTCACAGTCGTTACCGTAAAGACGAACTGACAGTTGATACAGAGAGGAAAGAGAAAAAATTGTCCCATGTGGACGACGTTAATGAAGACGAGGGGGTGGAGCTCTCGGTAATAATGTCCTTGAAGTCTACGTTGAAGTCGCCGACTAGTATGAAAGACTGACAGACAGACTGCATAGGTGATCATGTATTCTTTTCTCATATACTTGATTGATGTAGCGACATCCGTTTTACGCAGAGGTTTTGGTTTTTGTTGCGCAGGTGTTCAGTTTCTATTTAGGTTTCTCGTAGCGGATGGATGCGGACAAAGAGAAAGCCATGCCTTAAGTACATTCGCCACTACAATCGATCATTCATTGAGGCGTAGACAAGAAAATACAGCCGCAGCAGAGCGGTAATGTCCTTTCTTAAGGCTTTGAACGATTCAATGAGCTAAGGTATTGGGAAATTTTATACAAGGATCAAATCCAGGTCTGCTATTGGCTTGACAGTAGTCTACACCTCTAATTATAGAAACTAAATTCGAGACCTGAATCATTACGAACCTGCTTGAGGTCAAGCACGAGGCCAAAGTCACCTAGCTTGTAGTAGCCATCTTTGGAGATGAAAATGTTTTCAGGCTTGATGTCCAGGTGGGCCAGGTCATGGTTGTGCATATGTTTCACGCCCTGCGACAGCACAACTGGAATGACTATACTGCTTGACACCTATCGTAAACAGCTTGCTACTATATAAAACAAGGAAATGCAGCAGGTGTAATATAGATGAAACCTGCTGCTACGACAAGACGAAGATGTAAAAAAGGCGTGCATTGACACACAATGTCTCTTTTGTGAAATCTAGCAGGGGCAAGAACCAAGCCATTATCAAGCGTAATTGAGCCAGTAAACTACAACATTACTTCAAACTGTACATACGAACCAATTATTTACATATTCATTTGGCACAAAAAAGCAAAATTGAGAAAAAAAAAGCTTTTGATAAAACTGTTTTCCCCTCATAATTAGTATCTATCACACAAAATTGCAACTGCTATGAAGAGACATTTCAGCTTCATGAAACAATTTTTACAATTTGCATTACTTGACACACTTCAAAAAGAGCTCTGGAAGCAGGATTGCATTCATCTTGACGCTCCGTCTCGCCATCAGTGCAAGGTTTTCCCCCTTCCCTAGGTGCTTTTGTGAAGGGGAAATTAGACTAGATGCGTTACCTGTCACCGAAAGCATGCGAGTTACAATCGACACCAACAGGGGCACAATACTAGAGTCATGAAGATCGTTCCATGTGGCGTTATTTCCAGAGAGGCTTCATGCATCTCACAGAACGACACAAAAACAGGACTACCCATCACATTCACTTGAGCTCGGAGGCTGACGGGACGCTTCTGTGTATAACTATACATGTCGTTAGCGAATGCCATGGAACACAAAACACCTGCAATGGTATTTACACGAGCCTAAAGAAAAGGACCTTTTCTCGGTCTACAAGTAGAACGCAGTTACCATCGGGTGCTACAACTTAGGATCCCCGGACATCTGCAAGGACAAGCATTGAAGTAAACGAGGAATTCACTTGCTGTCAAATGCATCAAACAGCCCTTACATTTGAGTAATATATATTTCGGGCAAGTAAGATTATTCGCATTTTAACAAGCGTTGAAATGCACTTAGGGATGCACGTATTCAGTGTTTTCTTCCAAGTTGCGACTCCCGGAAGTTTGTGGCCTTCAGAATAAGTGCATTTTCACGAGTTTATATGAAAGGAGGGAGTATGCTTTAAGCTGAACTAAATATTTAGTGGTAACAATTTATATTGGCATGGACGACGTATCATGGTTGCCAAATGTTACTTGCCAATATCCAGCACTGAATATTGGATCAGTACACCCTCAATACGTGTACTTTCTCTAGCGACGCATCATGGAACCTGAAGAGAGAAGGTAAGGCCCAAATCATAGAAAGTATAGTAGAGAATAAAAATATGTCCCTAAAGATACAAGTTAAACATTGTCCGTGTAAATTGACAATTCTCCCTATGTAAGCCAATGTCGCTATTGTCACGTACACAGCAAAAGTTACAGTTACTCCTGAAGAGAACACGCAAAATGTAGCAACTGCACTGGTAGCTAAATTTTGCACACCGCTAGTAACCTTTCATTACCTAAAAACTACTCCAACTAAGGCGGAATTACTCGAAAGTATTGCCACGGGGTCGTGACGTTCATGAAGTCAGCAGGCTGTTGAATATAAAACTTTATTTGGCTGAACTTGTGGCCAGAAAACTGAGGGTAATGTTACGGCAAAACACTGGCACTGATAGCGGCGAAGAGAGCTTCGGGAGTAAATAGACTGACAAGTGGTGAAGCCCGTCGGTATTTATACATGCGCTATTCAATACTCCAGCCTTACCACTGGTCCTCGCGCAAGCTCTGGAATAATCTCGTATATTCATGCCAAGCGCGTAATCTTAACAGAATGGTCTACAGTAATAGCAGACCTTCTCAAACAATTATGCTCAGTTCTCCCTGAGACGTCCTGACAGGCTTTATGGGCGAAGACCGAATAGAACAGAAGTGAAAATAAGAACCATGCGTGGCCTTGCCCCCTCTCAAAAAGACTCATGCCGATGGTTAAAGCAGAACACGGGGGGAAATGCATGAATAAAAACATTACAGCAATAAGAACAAGCAGAATAATAAGCACAAACAACAACGCACCATAACTTGAAAATGACAAAGCATAGAGTCCTTGTGTACGTTAACGCGTATGAAACGTATTGGGGTGCGCATGCTGCCGTTGAGAGTTCTAAATGCCGTCGCAGACAACCTCGTAGCCTAGTGTACCTAGATACCGCACTACCTGGTACTGTTAGATGTACCGTCGGAGAAGTTTCTAACTGAGGCTACATCAATGTATCGGCATCCACACTAAAACACAGTCGCCGGGCTGGTAGTCCATAACGTGTCGTCGTGTCGTCAAAAATTGTAACGGCGGTGGTCGCTCGTCTGGGTTATGTCATCGCGTAGCATTTTGCCGGTTTTAGATGTGAAGGATCGATGAAGTCGGTGTCAGCACACAAAGCAGGTTCAAGCACGTCTGATATCGCTAAATTGAGACAGAAAAGCGCGTCCCATGCTTCCTTTATTGTCTGCTAGTCATCACATTTTGCAAAAAAAAGGCCAGCTTCCACTGCATTGTTTTTGATTGAAAAATTGCTGCGAACAATTGCATCAAACATAAGTAATTGTGGGAGTGCTTTTTAAAATCCGTTTGCTCTCAAGAGGGGGCAAATGAAGTGAATTCAGTGGATGCGAGGTATGACCATTGCCACGAGAAAATTCTCCCGAGGACTTACGGTATCATCGAGGAATTAAAATGTACATTGTGTAATTGCGATGCCACTGACCAAATATAAGAGCAAGAGAGCTTTTTCGATCTGCACATCGATAGAGATGAAGGATTAGATGTCTAACGCTCTCCTTCCGTCCGCATCACTCCCCTCGTCGTAGATGTTTGAGCAGTGCCAACTAGCTCCCGCACTCCTAGCAGTAATCGGTGACGTACCTATTCCTCGCCTGCCGCGCGCTTGCCATGTGTCAGCTCACTCACCTCACTCTCTTCACCGCTCGCAACGCTCGAGCACACTCCTTACTTGGGCATCATCTCACCCACGCCCCCTCTTCCCATCTGGTGGCCAGAAGGCACAAGCCAGTGGGTGCACACGCAGGTGGCGGCTCGAGAATCTCTAATGGCACTGCGCCGTCTCGCCTGTAGACAGACAGAAATTAGGTGCCTTCTTCCTTTTCCTCATGAACAACTAACAACACTCTCTAAGCATCGACAATGTGGACAGCCCTCTGATGTTAGCTACGTGATCGAGCCGATGGGCGGGACGCCACCATGGAATTGTCTCCGCAAGTGTGCATGTACCTTTCCCGGCTGTCACCGGCGTTGCAAGGGTCAGCGAAGCCGAACGCGTTTGCAAATGAAGACGTCCACACCAACGAGGCGTGAGCCAGGGAAGCCGAAAGCAAGCATCGACAGTGGAATACCAGCGACACTGACGAGGTGAGAGTCGAGAATGCTGATTGCGTTCAAGAATAGAGACGGCGCGTGGATAACACCGACGAGACGCGAGCCAAGGAAGCCGAGTGGAAGCGTCTTCAACGCGTCACACCTCCACTGTCTTTGCGTGTCAGACAGACGTTTACTTGAGTAGACGCTACATCGAGTTTCGCTTCAAACCGTTCTTCCAGCACTTGTGTCGACGCCCGTTTCAACGGGGTCAATGCCTTGCGCACCGCTGCTATTTCGCATCTCATCAGGGTTCCCTTCGGGGAAATGGTCCATGGAGGTGTTCCTCTACGGCTTCACGTTCTCGCAACGGAACCCAAAAAGAGGTCTGCCAGATTGATCTGCCACTTTCTTCTGTTATTATATGACGTTTCATGACTGGCATCTGTCGAGTTCTGGACAACGATGAGAAGCAGTTCCTGAACTGCAGGAGAAAAGTTTTGCGCTGGTCTTGCATGGGTTTCAGAAGGCGTGGGTTGATGTCGAAATATGGTTGGAAACATCGACTCTTCGAGGCACGTTGGAAACTATCTGAAAGGGGAAAATGTACACTGGTGTCAACACATTCGTCCATGTAGGATATCGTCGTACTGTTGTTGAGGTGCCTGTATTCATTGCAGAAGTTTGTTACCTATACCTCGATTTCCCATGACTCAGCTCGACGATGTCTCTTGCGAGGAAAGTCTGACGGCTAAGGAAGAGGCCATTGTTGCCTTTCATGACACCTTCAAAGACGTTGTTTTGGTGCCGACGGAAGCGATGACGCTTGAGCAAGGCGTAGTGTTGTCGCCGTCTTGAAGCACACCTAAAGCGCAATTTTTTAGCCTTGTGGAGATCGTCAGCGTGTTTTCCGATGTTAGTGGTATTGACTCGGTGCTCAGGTCGGTGATAGCGCCATGTTGTCTTTGGGAGTTCATCCCAAGTATCATAACTCTGGAGTCATATTGTGCCCGCCGTGGCGGTCTAGTGACAAAGGTACTCGACTGCGGACCCGCATGTCGCGGGGATGAAATCCCGGCTGTGGCGGCTGCATTTCCGATGGAGGCAGAAATGTTGTAGGCCCGCGTGCTCAGTTTTGGGTGCAAGTTATAGAATCTCAGGTGGTCGAAATTTCCGGAGCCCTCCACTACGGCGTCTCTCATAATCATATCGTAGTTTTGGGACCTTAAACTTCACTTATCTTCATCATCATAATCAAGTCATACTGCAGGATTTCAAAGCTCGCTGGATAAGTATGGTTATTAATGATGACTCTTGCTGAGGAGACTCCAGTCGGCGTTATTAAGTGATCTGCAGTGGCCCGAATTTAAGGGTCTTGCCATTCAGTGCACCATTAAATGTGAAGGAGCTCTTTCACTTGCATGTATAACGCCGTCCCTCCGTACGAACACACCGCGTGCTACAGGTGTTGGCGCATTTAGTTCATGTTCTCCTCGCAGTGTGCACTGACGTAGCTCTCCCTCACTTGTCACGCGTTCGCCGTTGCGGCCGCAGCTGCCGCTTCATTCGTTTGCCGCCAACACCTGCCGCGACCACCACTCGCTGCACGACGGACTTGTCAGTTTACGCAAAATAAACTTTATACGCGCTTATCGTACGCTCTGTAACGTATCTGTAATTGTCAACTACGAGACCTACGCTAGCCATTGCGTCAATCAAAACTTGTAGTGCTCACCACAACATACGCGTTTGCGTCGTTCTATCAGTGATGCCACCCGTGGGCAACACTGCTGCTTCGCATACCATCAGGGATCCCTTTGAAGAGATGGCCGAAACTTTTTGAACTTCGTCAGGGAAGGCCCACTGACGAAGGAATAGTGAGCTCCAGTGTCGACGAGAGCAGTGACAGTGTGGCCGTCGTCTTTTACCTCGAGGTCGCTGGTTTGTAATCGTCCGTTTTAGTTGAGTTGCGACATCGGATCATGGCAAGCTAGGTTTATTTCTCTCATTGCACGTAGAATCTTGAATCTTTTTCAGTCTGGGAAAGTTGGACGTCAAGGCCGCTTTCGTCTTGCGGCGGGTGCTTTCGGCTTTGTTGCGGCGTCGTCGTCGGCGGAGGATGATCGTCAGGTTGTCGTACAACAACCACACCTCCATCAGTTGCTGCCTTTAGCTTTCCAAGTATGGGCTCGAGAAACGGCCAATAGTTGGGCTGGTATACTGGCAGCACCGCAGTGACTGGTAGCGTCCTGGCGATGGTGATTGGTAATGTCATCAGCGTATCAACTGCGCTTCTGTGAGGCAGTCACTGATATCTTGAAGTCGTTCACCCCTCTGTGGGTTCGGCGTGTTCAATTACCACATTAGGAATTACCCCTATGCCCTATGCGCTGCAAAAGAACTTTTGGTGTATGCTACGTTAATTCCAAGACGGTGACACAGCGTCACTAAGGGGTGAGAGAAAAAGAGTTCTGAATATTTTCACTCTGACCTCTCTGCCAATACAATTCTCAAAGTCCTTGAAGTGCTCCTGCTTTTTGGGACTATCCTGTTACTATTCTTTAGTAGTAGTTCACTGCCCTATCATACAGATAGCACGTCAAAACAGCAACGTTCCTAATTACCCTCGCAAGTTTGTACCATTTCCGGGAATTAACTTGCGATCGGGTAGTAATGTATGCGACAAGAAGTTACTACCCGAAGTTAGTACTACCTCTTTTAAATGTACTGAAAGTCTGCATACCAGCAGCAGGTCGACCAGGAACTCCCAGACAATACTCTCGGGCAAGTTGTGGTGTCGATCAGCATAGGCAGCTAGACTGCACTCGCACAACTCCGTCTGAATGAACAAGCGGGAATCCTCCTCCCACGCCTTGATGAAACGCACACAGTGTGGATGTGGTGGCAGAAGCTCGTGCTTGGCTACCTCTTGCAGCTGCAGCCAACGATCGCGTGGGCCCCGGAACTGGCGGTTGCCCACCTTGACCGCATACCAACGGCCATCATCGAGGCATCGTACCTTGTACACCTGCAAAGGCAGAATTAGTTTTTGTCGTCCCTCTTGAACTGCGTGACGTGACGAAAATGTACCTCGACTGGTTGTTACGGCATTTTGAGAAACAAGATAGCCCACCAGATATGCACTGCAAGGACCTGCAACCACAAGCGTAGTGATCCTTGCTATTTTCACTTGTACAGCTGAAATAAAAAATAAGAAATGTACACCTGTGGCAAGATTTGTGGTTATAACATCCCAAAATCAGGGGATGTCGTAATGGAGTGCCGCGGAAGTTTCCATCCACTGGCGATCTTTAACGTGCTCTGACATTGCACCGTACAAAGACTTCAGAATTTCACCTCCATCAAAATGCGACCGCCACAGCCGGGGGTTACACGCTACATGAGAAGCAAGCAACGCAGAAAATAAATGTTCTTACCGAGTAAACCATGTCTCATCCAGCTACAGACCACTTTTTTGTAGGGTGGTTCTGCGCCGCTGACACGTGGCAGATTAGTGTGCAATCAAATCGACAGCCTCTAATCGTAATATTTCTTAAATCATAAGAATGACAATGACACACAAGTGTGAAGGAGCAGCAAATACTAAGTAGACCTGTGTTTGCTTGGCCCTGAAAGAGCAAGCTAGCACATTTACAGAACAAAACGGGTACAGTATAAATGAACCACAAAGTCATCTTGAGGACCATTACAGTGGCTTAAGAAGAAAATTTTCAAACAAGGAGTAGGCACAATAAAACTTGTTTTAGCTGTTGCAGCATTCTCTGAAGCGAATATTTTAAAGAACAATGGATTGTTATCTTCATTCCCAACGTTTCGGTTCACACAAAGCACGAATGATCTCCCAAGATAATATACCCAAATTTCATAAAATTGCACTACAAACCTATACTACATTATTTGAAATGAAATAATAATCTTACCAGACACCAGAAGTGACCAAGAAAATGCTGACAGTTTCGTATGTGATGAAAAGCGCTAAGAAGTTGAGCACAACGGCATGCCTCGATATTATGTTTGTCATGGTGAATAGTACAAGGCGACTGCAAAAACAAAAACGCTACGAAGATTCTTAAGGTAGGCATGTGTCATGTATGAAGATTGTATCTGTTAGGACTGGCAAGCTCCAGCGTCTAGCATTTTTTAAATATTAGGCACCGTTTGAAAAACAATTTCTTGGTCATGAGATCGCTGCATACAAGTTCACGGGGCAAGCACAATATTCCAGTATTTTGAACTGGTGCACCCGGACGAGTGAAGTCAGCCTATAGGTCTTGCTCAGCTACTGTCAGCTGTTCATTTGCGACTATGGGGCATTAAAAAAACGTGATATCAGAGAAAAGTAAAAGTGGAAAATGATGTAGAGTAAACAGCACTTGTTCAGAGTTAACGGGGGCTGGCATAGGCCAACTCCTCTTCTGCATGGCGGGTTGCAGAGGTAGTACACAAGGTTTAGCTGTCAAATATGGGTGAGGAAAGAGCTGTAGATGCTGGGGCGAATTTGGAAATCTGATGATCAGCTGAGTTTATAGAATAATTTCATACGACGTAGTTCAAAATTATATAGTTTATTATTGTCACTGTAACTAGAGAGACCTACAAATTTGCTCAAACAAGACCGCTGGGGACATGGGATATATCAGATGCATCGAGGATGAGGTAACCGAACTACTAGGCTATAGTGAGTGTAAACTAAGCAACGAACCTTACAGATACACACCTGGCAACTGATGCATGTCACTATCTTAAGATTGCTTATGGTATTTTCTGCATATATTACAAGCTACCTGCGGCACTTGTGGTTTTTGACAAAGTGCGGAAAGAACCGAAAATTGCTTTATTGCAGAAGCTGTACAAGGCTAGACGAATTGAAAAAAAATCACAGCAGGTCCATGAAGTGAATTGTAATGAGTGGGGTGAAGCTACCGTCACTCCGTCCGTCTGTCTGTCTGTCTGTATGTCTCCTCCTATCGTACTAGAGCATGCAGCATTACGGAAACCACCAACATCCGTCTAGTAATATTTCAAGGATACACAAATCGTCATAAGTGAGAGATTCTAAAATATAGCTAGAAGTGGCCAATACAACATACCACGAGGGAACGACTCACACCCTATGGAGCTTTGCCCCATAAAGTGTTCGGCAGCAGTTCCACAAGCGGTCTCCACTGGCAAAACTATTAGTTACGCCATTCTCAGGGTCGTATCAAAGTACGCGCGTGCCATTGGCTGCGTTGTGAGTGACGTAGCCGATCCCACCGCAACCACAGCGCCGAGCACGCACGCATCAGTTTCTATCAAGGCCTGCCACATGGGTAAGCCACGAAGAAATAAACAAGAGCATTAGTGGAAAGATGAAAAAGCGTGCATTCGCTGGGCCAATAGTGCAGTCCGGGCAGAAAAATGGATCCGGGAGGTCAAGTGCCGACAGAAACTGCGTAGCGATCACCTGGCAGCCTTCCGAGCTGCGCTAAATAGCGAACGGGAATACAAGCGCCGGTGGCAAGCGGTTCCTGCCAACCACGTCGACAAATTAACTTGCGATGTCAAAAATATGCAACACGCTGCGCTGAGCCAGGGCCGGTGCGGGCACGACCGGGTTAAGATGACCATAGACACTTTTAGCTGGGCGTACGTAACGATCCTACGTACGCTGCATGTGAAGTGCTGGAAGAACTTCTCGTTAGGCGTATTGACCGTACCGAGATACGTTTGGTTCCACTAGACCTATGTTATTAGAAATAGAACAGCTTTTGGGTGCTTTTTAAAGCACTCGTGTGCTAGCGGCTGCCTTAATGGCCACCAGCAAACAAACCAAGGTGAATAATTTTGGATCCACGGTGTACGTCGGTTTCTTCCAGACGCTGAATCAAATCGCTGGTTTGTACTTCTGCTAGCAGTGCAACGTCGTCCTTCAAAGTAAAATATACTCATCCTGGTCAGCTTTGTTGCTCTTTGTATTCGACGCCATTGCTACCATTTTGCTATCTGGTTCCTATTTCGATTGAGATATCGTGGGAGCGTCACGCCGCGTACGTTTCACTTCATTACGTTTACACACGCTGCGTTTTTTTCGGCGTACGCATGCATCCATGGAATAGATTCCATAGGTACTACACGTGCGCACTTTTATCCCTCAACCCAGCTGGGTACGTAGGCTCGTTACGTACGCCGAACTAAACGTGTAATCTTGGGAGCACGTTCGCTGGAGCAAACACCAGATTTCAGCGGCAATTTGGTTTTTGGGTGTGACGTCTCCGACCACCTGTGGTTTGTAAAAAACGACTGTGACTGACGCAATGCGAAACGCACTAAACCGTTAGGGTCACTCATCTATGACCATGATCATGTGAGGCACAAGGTGTGGCATGTGAAAAACACGGTGGTAAACCCAAGAAAATGTATGTTTAAACTTATTTGGAAATGATCGATATGTGGGATTTGTGTCCCAAAACAACCAGATGATTACAAGGAACGGCGCAGTAAAGGGCTTCGGAAATTTTTACCGCCTTGGTTTTTTTATTGTGCACCAAATATGAGCTTATGAGTCTACAGCAATTTGGCCTCCATCGAAAATGCATCCGCCACTGCCGAGATTCGATCCCGCGACCCGTGGATCAACAGCCGAGTACCTTAGCTACTAGACCATCAAGTGCAGGCAACGTCATTGAAAACACGCACATTTAACAGAATTGTGAAAGGCTTCAATGCAGCGTCGGGTTGAACCCGCTGCTAAACACCTGGGTCGTAGGTTTTAAATTTTGCTGATTAACTATTTTTACGGAAAGCTTGAGTGGTGGTGTTTTATTTATGATCGGTACAACATCCTTGGAATACCACTATATTGACAGAGATTTCACCCATTGACATGTAGTGTTTGACGTCGCAAAACAACCATCTGATTATGAAAGACACCGTAGTGGGGGGGGCTCCGGAAATTTCGACCACTTGGGGATCTTTATTGTGCACCCAAATCTGAGTACATGGGCCTACACTATTTCTGCCTCCACCGAAAATGCAGCCGCTGCAGCCGGGATTCGAACCCGCGACCTGCAGGTTTCACCTATGAAAGCTCTAAGCCAAGGATGCCAAATTAGCTATTTTGAAGCCAGATATAGCTACTTTTGAACTCGTCAAGCTACTGAAAATAAATTTAGCTACGAGTAGCTATTGTACCATTTTTATCGAAAGATTAGGTCCTACTCAAGCTACTTTAGTGAGCTCGAAATGTAGTGTATTGACATTTTCTAAATTGTTACAATACAGATATACATACTTGTACATACATACTTGTACAATACATACTTGTACATATATATGAAACCGGAAATCATTTCATTCAAGGAGATCAAATATGACGTTGGGTTTGTGAAGTGTATATTTAGTCATAAATTGAAGAGAAATAAGTGAAGGAAAAATTAACGGGCTGCCACAGAAAAAATTGTGCAATTTTTGCCGCTTTTTATTCCCCTTCATTTGCGACAAAATGACGCACGCACACACGCACGCACACACACACACACGCACACACACACACACACACACACGCGCGCACACACACACACACACACACACAGAAAAATGCGACGAACACAGCTTGCCGAGTCATGTAATTCAGAAATGACACGATAGCGTCATACTCAGTGAGGAAGGATAATGCTCATTCACTGGCCGATATCGGACAATGCTTATACGTATCGCAGATGTCATGTACGTTTACTGACTCAGCTTCACACATCTGCCATTTTATGTTTTTGGGAAAGAGTCATTTGTATGCTTGCTTAAGGTTCTGGTAGTTTAGAGTACAGTTTTTTTGTTGTTAACTGCGATCTTGAATGTAAGCCTACTTTGAGCTTTCCTGTCAGCTTTCTCCTCGGATAAGACGTGAAAGGCAACCCTATTGCGAAAACCAGCGCCACTTAGTACCAGCGTCCCGCGCCATGCCTGATTATGGGCCCAGCGTGGCGCTGGTACCAGCGCCTCCCAGCGCTTGTACTGGGACGCTGGAGTGGCAGCGTTTCAGTACTCTGCGCAAAATCGCCTCACAGGGTTAAAACTGGGGTGACCATTCGCCATAAGTAAATGAATATAAAAGCAAAATAGCACGCATTCACATAAAATTTTAAAAAATAAAACAGAAAAACACCTTACTTGACAGGATTTGACCTCGCCACTTTCTGAGTACTACCTGAGTACGCTACCCACCATGAGACACCGTAACGTGCATTGTACGTTGTAAAACGCGCCCTTCGACTGCATGTTTACAAGTCGCACAGCCAAGATCGACGTGATATTCCTTTCCCAATAACAATTGCGTCTTGATTCGACAGTGAGGACTGGCTTCCGGGAACCGAATGATGCGCAAATATAACAAGAGCGCAAAATTTTGTGAAGAATCCACATCTCAACTCTGACTAATAACAAATTGACT